GTGCATGAGTTGATTTAAACAGATTGCTTAACTTAAATTTAAAATTATTGATAGATTTATAGGAAGTATAGGAAGTGGTCAAAATAATACACATTAACCCCAATTAACCCTTCCCCTAGATTCCCCCAAAGGAGCCATGTTCCTTAATTATAAAGCAATAACAAAGCCAACGTGTTGACAGCAATAGAATGCATGCACGTATTCTTCATCTGAAATGCTGGGAACCAGTGCTGGGTGAACCAACACTGGGGGTTGGACCATGTGTTTATGCATAATGAGACCTCTTGGTTGCAGGCTTCAAGTCTAACCACAGCATTCATGTAGATTACATATGCCTTTAAATAGCCTGAAGTTGTTTTACAAAGTATTGTTAGGGTATTTTGACTGTGACCTATCTCATGATGTCATTTTCCATTATGGTGTCATGTCAGTGCTCAGTACGTTTGAGATTTTGGAACTTTTTGGACAAGATTTCAGCCTGTATCTACACTACTGATGTTTTACCTCACACACTAATTCATGTAACAAAGAACATAAGCAAGGCATAGTTCCCCTGCCCTTGTACCAACAGCTCTCAATGTCACACCCTGTTCCCCTCCTCACCCATTCTCACCTTCTGCACTGTTTCTGGTGTCCAAAATGAGGAAACTGCATTATTAAATACTTAGTGGCCAGAAGGGTGTGACACGATATTTTTAAGTGAATTTTTTTAAAGAAAACATTGTTAACTCCGAATCTTCCATCTAGTGAAAACAGTCTCCAAGAATAAAGGGAATCTAAGACATTTCCAGAGGCAGGAAATGAGAGGATTGTTACTAGCAATAAATGTGAGGAATTGTTACCACAAGAAGAGCCAGAGGAAATTTTGAAATGAAAGAAATGAGAACAGAAAGAATCTTACAGTAAACATCAGGAAAGAACAGAGACCAGTGAAAAGGGTGAAATGTGGGCACACACAAGAGACAGTCCTTCTTGATATTTTTCAATTGTGTTTTATGTTGAAGCAAAAATTATTGCATTATCAGATGTGGTTATCAAGATATACCAAGGAATGATTGAAGACATATTATAAACAGGAAGAAAAGAAGGGATTTAAGTGGAAGTAAAGATTCTGAACTTCATTCAACTAAAGAAAATGTCTACTCTAGTAATATGCAGTAAAGTTTATATATATATATATATATATATATAGTTTATTGCTTGAAACAGCCACTTAAGATTTATTAAAAGGTACACATTCAAATATACTATAGGTACATTAAAATGGAATTCTAAAAGTGATAGGACTTCAGAAAAAAGAAAAGACAAATGATAAATAGAAAAAAATATATAAGCCCTAATGCATGAAAAATTCTTTAACCATCAATGACAAATAGACCAATTAAAAATGGTGATGGGAATCATGTCATTAAAAACTTGCCCAACTATATGTTGCCTATAAGAAAGTCTTTTCAAATTTGCACAAACCGTTGGAAAGTAACAGAATAGAAAAGACATGTCATGCAAACATGACAAAAGATAAATAAAACTAACAAACCTCAAGCCAGAAAGAGAAAAAGAGACATGAAACAATTTCCTAATGTGTGGAATGAAACAGAAATAGTGCTACAGACAGCGAAAGGACAAAAAGCAGTGTTCTACATAATACTAGCTAGCAGAATTCAACAAAATATTGAAACTATATACCAGAGCCAACTGGAACTTATTTACCATTCAAAAGCAGGCCCAGTGTCTAAAAGCCAGTCAGTGGGGTACATATATTAATAGGTCAAAGAAAAATCCCTTGATCAAACTGATGCAGGCAAAGTATTTCACAAACAAAAATATTTTGGTTTTCCCTAATAATGAAGGTGTGCTCTTCTCATTTTAAAAACATTTTCTATGTCTTTTGATTTTAGAAGTTGGATTGTGAAACTTCTCTATGTACATATCTTTGGGTTTATTCAATTTGGGGTTTGTTCAGCTTCTTAAGTCTGTGGATTTACGTCTGACATCTAATTTGGGAATTTTGAGCCTTATTATTTTTTTTATAATGTAGCCTCTTCCTTTACTTTCCCTTCATCTCCCATCCCATCCCTGCCCACAAGTTACATAAGTTTTCCACATAGTGTATACTAAATAGCATGATTGCTTTTGTTCACCCTTCTACCCTCCCTTTCTGGATCCCCCTTTTATATGCCCAGAAGAAAAAAACTTAAAGTAAAAACCAACACCACTACTTCCACCATCACAAACTAATAATAACAACAAAAAGGTGTTTCTATTTCCCAGAGTTTTGTTTTAATAAATAGTATTTTCAGTGTCCAGAGAAGTTACATCTTTATGTTTCTTCCCTAAGGGTGACTTCCTTTAATCTGGCTTTGTATGTGAATGCTTGGAGTCCTGTATAGTTATCATGATCACTTACATTTTAGATCTAGTTTCCACATATGAGAGAAGACGTGTTTTGTTTTTCTTTCTGAGTTTGGCTTACCTCATTTATGATTTGTTCTAAGTCCATCATTTCTCTGATAATGACATAATCTTATTTTTTTCTAATGAGTAAGTAAAATTCATTGTGTACATGTACCATATTTTCTTGAATCTTCACTTGTCTGTTAGAGGGTATCTGGGCTGTTTCTATAACTTGGCTATTGTGCATAGTACAGCATTAACAAACCTAACTTGAACATGGATGTGCAAATGTCTTTATTTGTAATGATCTGGGTAGATGCCCAGAAGTAGTATGGCTGGGTCATAGAGAAGTGCTATATTGAGTTTTTTTAGGAACCTCCAAACCCCTTCCAGAATGGTTATACTTCAGTCTCACCAACAGGGCAATATGGTACCTTTTCCCCCACGTCCCTGCCAGCATTGGTTGTTATTTGAACTCTTGATGGTGGACAATATAACAGGGGTGAGATGGAATTTAAGCCTTAAATTTTAAAACATGTTTTAAAATGTCAATCAGTTTTTGCCACTCCTTAGTCCAGTTTGACTTAGTCTAGTGTTTGACTTTTCTTTGTTAAGTCACAGACCCCTGATAGCTCAAGTTCATATCTCCTGTGAGCCATCTATTGAACTTTTTTATTTCAGTTATTATGTTATCCAGTTCTATAATCTCCATTTAGTTGTTCTTTGTATATTCAATTTCTTTTTTAAGGTTTTCTGAAAATTTTTCATTTACCTCAAGCTGATTGTATTTTTTTGGTCAGTCGTGGGGCCTGAACTCTGGCCCTGGGCACTGTCCCTCAGCTCTTCAGCTCAAGGCTAGCGCTCTACCACATGAACCACAGCACCAATTCTGGCTTTTTCTGCTTATGTGGTGCTGAGGAATCAAACCCAGGGCCTCATACATACAAGGCAAGCACTCTACCACTGAGCTACCTTCCCAGACCCTGATTTGTATTGTTTTTGAAGCATTTTTATGATGGATGCTTTATAAAGTATTTGTCTCATGTATATCTAGCTAGTTGTTGGCATCTACTGACTATTGACTATTTCTTTAAGTTAAGAGTTTTCCAGTTTTTGGTATGATGAGTATGTTTCTGTATTATTTGGGTTATTGGAGTTGTGTGTTATTTAAACCACCAGACATGACTCTAGTGGAGCAAGGTAAAAAAAAATCACTTCATTACTGACAGTTTGGGGACAAATCCCACCTTTTTGGGCCTCCGTTGGCTCCCTAATGTGGGGATGATGTCTTTCATCTGCAGGCATGGATAGGAGCTAAGGCTCTCCATTGATACCACCCTGGTATGGAAGGAAGTTTAAAAAAAACTCAAAAGTATTAAACTATAATTGTCATGACTGACTGAAGAAATATAAATGCTACTAGCAGTATGAAATATTACAGCCTTTTTGCAAAGCAATCTTGAAGCTATTAAAATCTGATAACCAAATAAAAGTTTTTAAAAATCTGATACTATGAGATCAGGAGACCTCCTCTTCTTCCTTCTACTTTCCATTGTGTGGTCTGTGTGTGTGTGTGTGTGTGTGTGTGTGTGTGTGTGTGTGTGTGTGTGTGGTGAGTGTGGGGTAGGGGTGTGTGAGTGTGTGTGTGTGTGTGTGTGTGTGTGTGTGTGTGTGGTGAGTGTGGGGTAGGGGTGTATGTATATGTTTGTGTGTGTGTATGCATGTTACCAGGAAGGAACTCCTGTTAGAGTGGAATGGGGTATAGATAGGATACCTGGAAAGAAAAGGGTTTTTGTCTTCCAGTGGCTATCAGTAGATTCCACAGAACAGAGACACTGGAAATATGGGCCCAGAGCCTTGCTGTTCTGCTAGTGTGGGAAGGTTTTGTTTTGAAATGCTTAGGTGGCCATGTGCTAGCTATGAGCTGGGGTAGTATCGGCAGCTCGAGGACTAGGGCTGTACACATACTTAGTCCAATGTCTCTATCAAACAAGCCTAAGTACTCAATGCCCAGAATGTGTTCCTGCTTTAACTCTGTTCTCATGGGGCATTGAGTAAGCAAGAGCTTTGATCACAACTACTGGCCTTAAAGTATTTTTAATAAAACCAGGTGCTGATATCTCATGCCTGTAATCCTAACTACTAAGAAGGATAAGATTGGAGGATGAGATTCTGAAGCCAGCCTGAACAGAAAAGTCCAGTCAGACTCCATCTCCAAAAGAAGCCAGTCTGGAAGCATGGCTCAAAGAGAGCCAGTTTAGCACACACGAGGACCTGCCTTTAAACTCCAGCATGACCAATACTTACAAGACTATAGAGCAGGCAATATTCAGTCATGACTTCTTTCAATATTAAATCTTTGATCAAAGTAGAAGAGTGGATTTTTCAAAGGCTTATAAATAGATATTTTAAAAGAAACAAGATTTTTGTTTCTTGTCTATTTGCCTTTTTCAAAATTACTGTCAACTTAGTATTGCATTTGTACTTAAAGGATTACACAAAACAATAGTAATGCTCTCTCCACAAGAAGCTGGGCAGAGGAAGAACAGCAACCTCAGTGTGTCTCCCCTCCCTCTGACCTCTGGTGCATTCCCTTTGCTTTCCAGAGCCTCGTGCCCTGGGGAGGACCGCCAGGCCACAGATCAAGCTGCCTCCATGGTCAGAAGGCTTGTCACACAGAGCCAGCTCAGAGGCTCTTCTCCACCACTTTTGCCGAGCATGTCCCCAGGGAGGCAGCTTCACAGCCCAGGCAGTTTTCTCAGCTCTTGCAGGCCAGTGTGGATGACCTGTGGCTGGAGAAGATGCAGAGAAGGAAGCTGGAGACTCAGGCACAGGCTGGAGGCAAGATACACACCAAGACTGCACACGTGGATCGAGGACAGGTGAGCCACTCACGGGCCAGCCGCTTTCCAACTTGACCTGTTGCCCTCTTGTCTTCTGCAGGTGGCTGCCATGTCCTCACTGTGTCCCGTGCTGGCACTCGCCATGCGTGGGCCCAGGATTGCAGCACACAAAGTAACTTACTGGGTTATTAGAATCACAGGTGTGAGAAATTGTCTGATACCTGCCAGTTTCTGCAACCTTACAATCTTGCTGTTGGCATCTGTTGTCTTTTCCCCTTGTAAGTTATGGAGATTCTCACAAGTCATTTTTGGTTCTATCTTGGCATTTTGAATACTAGGTCACAAAACTCTAGGCCTCGTTCCATTCCTGTAGAGAATAGAATGACTGGGATTTTTAGGTGACTGACTCCGTGATGGTCAGGCCACAAGTTCTTGCTGAACACAGTGCTGCTGTTGTCAGCTTGGGTTTCTAGAACCATTTAGGCAGTGTGGCACAGTCAGTGGCCAGTCGGACCTGCAGAATGTCCAGTCAGGTCTACTCAGGCACAGTTTGGGGAATCCTGGCGGACTCGCATGGTGCTGTGGGATCACTTTCTTGGTTCCTTTTTTCTTTTATATAGTACTAAGGATTGAACCTCAGGATTGCACTTCCTAGGCAGGTCCCCAGATATTTGTGCTACATATGCAGCCCTTTTGTTACCACTTTCTTTTTCAGATAGAGTGTTTCACTAACTTTGCCTAAGGTGCCTTTGAACCTGAGATCTTCTGCCTCCACCTCCCAAGTCCTTGAGACCCAGATGTGCACCATAGTAATACCTCATGAATAAATTTTCATTTCTTTCTTCCCTGCTCCCATTACTGGAAACTGAATAAACCCAGGGCCTTATGCTTGCCAGGCACGCACTCTATCACTGGATTGTACGCTAGCAGCAGGTCACATCTTTAATATTCCCCTTTATACATTGTTCCAAGACACTTCCTGTTTTTCAGGAGCCCTCTCCTCTCTGGTCTTTGTACTTGTTATCTGGCCTTTCATTTTCCCCCTCTGACACTTCAACTGTATCTGCTTCTGAGCCAAGTGACAGGGGGATGAAGAAAACCAAAAACAGAGACAATCCCCCAAAACTACTCCCCTCTGTGGCCTCTAGTCAGAGATGAATTCTCTCCCTTGGAGTTTGAGTGTCTACTTGGCCACCATTGGTATTACTGCAGTGGTATTCCACTGGAGTTGGGAGACAAGATCACCAAACCCCAGGATTTCCCCTCTTCCCTCACACCTGCAGGGAGCCCTTTCCCTATTCTGGGCAAAGAGGGCTTCTTTAGAGGTTGTTTTGTCCCTACCCAGCTCTAAGCTGCTATTTTGTTCAGATGTGTCATACCTCTGGATGAACAAAACAGAAAACTCACCACAGGATTAAGGCAACCTTCAAATCCTGTATACTTATCGGGGCACAGATGGCACATGCCTTTAATTCTAGTAAGGTCCTGAATCAGAAAATCAAAGAATCAGGGTTCAAAACCAGCCTAGGTTGGAAAGTCCTTGAGACTCTTTTTCTCCAATGAACCACCAAAAAGTCAGAAGTGGAGCTGTGGCTCCAGTGGTAGCATTAGCCTTAAACAAAAGAAGCTCAGGGACAATGCCCAGGCCCTGAGTTCAAGCCCCAGTTAAAAAAAATATATCTAGTGTCCTTCCAATGGTGTTCTCCCACCCTGATTTGATTCAGGACTGAGAATTCTCAGCATAAACCCATTCTCAGGATTGGCTGGGGCTCAACTCTACAGGCTTCTTTTTGTTGAAACTCAGGGTTTCTGTAGAGGTGAGAAGGGGATCTGATTGAAGTGTTCATAAGCAGGCAATTATTTCATCTTAGTACACTTCCTAAACTGTCTTATCTGGTCAGTATCTGAGGCCTCAAACAAAAGGACAGGTGTCTGGAATTTTTCCTGCAAGAAACACGGGACTAGAGTGAGTTTAAATGGGGGGAGAGGGGTTGAACTTATGGCAAACCTGGCTTGGCAGAGTTGAGAATGGGGCTGACAACTAAGTGCCAACTCCTGCTCCTGGCCTGTGCTGCTCCTTCCCCAGCTCTGGCTGGCAACCCCCCCCCAAAGACACTGAACTCCACCTTATAGTCTCTACAATCTTTCTTTACAAAAAGCATTCATATATTTTTGCCAGTCCTGGGACTTGAACTCAGGACCTGGGCACTGTCCCTGAGCCTCTTTTTGCTCAAAGCTAGCACTCTACCACTTGAGCCACAGCACCACTTCTGCCTTTTTCTGTTTATGGGGTACTGAAGAATCAAATCCAGGGCTTCATGCATGCTAGGCAAGTACTCTACCACGGAGCCACATCCCCAGCCCCCAAAGCATTCATATTTAAGGACACTGTGTCCTTCCAAACACACCTTCAGTTGCATGACAGTTTTAGTATGTGATTTTTTTATAATCTTGTTGGTTCTTGTTTCTTCCTAATTCACACTGTGATTTCCTCTTTGGCCCATTCATGTCTAGTTTCTATTAAATTGCATCATGAGAGTGTGGTCTGTGTCCTTCCCTAGTCTACCTGCTATAGTCTACTTTCTGGTATTACACTAGCTGATCCATGCATCTGCCCAAGGTTTTCAGATACAGATTTCAGACAGGATAGAGTAGCTACCCACCTTAATCCTTGTTTACATATTTGCATTTCACTCAGTAATGGAAAAAAGTACTCTAAGTATGATTGTTTGATAGTATAAGGAACCCCAAAGCACAACAGAAAAGAACAAGCATTTATTTGAACACTTACAATATTTTTAATTAATTGAACCTTACCAGGTAGCCAAAAATGGGGAGGTCCAAGTTTAACAATGGATAGCGAGAGTAAAAAAGTACCTCTTACTTTCCAAGACCCACACAACATTGGTCCTTACTTACTATCTGAAGATCAATGTTGGTCTCATAATTATGAGGCTTTTGCATTACATTTTCATTAAATTCTCCCCTACAGAATATCCTCTGTAAAATATTCCTTAGCTAAACCTAAGTTTTGCTTTGGGGGAAGTTGGCTGTGTCTGGCAGACCATCTGGGGAGATTTGGCACCAGAAGCCTTCTCCACAGTTCTCTTTTCACATGGTTGAATAGCAGCCTGTATTGTGCGCTAGGATTGCACATCTAACCATGGATTGTGCATGCTGCAAGTCAGGAGCAGTTCCCCTTTGAGGTTTTTGTGTAGACTGTAAGCCCTGGAGATGTCTGCACATTGGCTGTTCATTCTACTCACTGAAAGCATCTTAGACAACAAGACTCATTAGGAAGTGGTGAAGACAGCCTGTCCTCTGTTGGTTTCATCTCCTCTCTGCCTTTCTCCTCCTCCCCCAGCACTGGAGGAAGATGAGCATCACCTCTCCAGAATCTCTATGTCTACCTCGAAGAAACCATCAGCTTTCCCAGAGTGCCCCGACTGGACTGAACCACACAGGCTGGTCAGAGCACATACCCAACACCGGTGAGCCATGTGCCTATCCTGTTTTAGAGCCAAGTGTCCTGACAAGAAGGAAGAAAGGGAGTGTTTGGGGTTAGTGCCCACTTGTCTGAGAGAAGCAACTTAAAGATGAGGGAGAGTGAATCACCTTGCCCTTTTACTTAGGAAGGAATGCCTGGTACCCAGACAGAGGGATGGAGTCCAAGACTGGTTCCCCTAATTACACTAAGCAGGGTGACTGACTCAACTTGGTCTTGTAATAGGATATAACTCGCAGAAGTATAATCACCAGAGTTGACTCTGATCTAGTGATGGAATCTGAGGGCTTTCTCTTCTTCCTGGACTTTTTGGCAGCCTTTGAGTTTCCATCCCAGCCCTATAGCAAATAGTATTGCATCACATATTTGCCTGCACAAGGCCTGGCTTCTTGTGCCTGAAGAAAATTGGTGGGGTTAGGAGCTTGAATTAGCCAGGTGATTTGTTGTTTCCTGTCAGCAGATGTTCATGTTGGAGTTGCATGGTAACATGGACTGTATTCTTTTTTGTATATATTTTTATTGAAAAATACTGTACAGAGGGCTAACAGTTACATGAGTAAGTTAATGAGTACATTTCCTATGGAGCATTGTTACCTCCTCCTTTGTATTCTTTCCTATGTAAAGTGGTGATCTTAAACTAAACAATAAGCAAAGTTTGACAATTGCTGAAAAGAATCATTTCTGGAAGAAAGACATTTTCTCATATGACCCTCTTATTAAGTTTTAAAATTACCTAGAGATTTTTGGAAGAAACAGACATGATAAAGAGTAGTATTTTTCTGGAGATAACCAGCCCCAAGGCTTGTGACCCATGTCAGCACCTTCTTGAAGTTGGAATTTAGGGCAAAAATCTCTTTCTGGGCATCCTGATTAGACAAAGTTTGGCCACCTGTCCCTATACACTACTTAAAGAGATAAGCATTGTTGAACAAAGAAAGGAGGTTTAATCAAACATAGTTATGTTGGGAAAACAAAGGGACTTGGTAACCAAAACTTGTCTTCTGGGTATTTGAAAAAATATTAAGATTTAGTAGGAGAAGAGTTGGGGGTAGAAGATAAGAAGGTATGCAATAGTTAAAACAGTCCTGGTTTATAATTATCTCCATCTTTGTCTCTGGAGGAGTTCTGGAATTATCACTTTCCCATTGAAACAGAACAGGAATGAGGTACATCTCCTGAGTTTCAAGCTATTTGCTTTCAAATGTTAAGAGGAAGGAAGGCACTGCCATCTTGAGGGGTTGTTTGCCTCCTACCCAAGATACTTATCAATCAGGCCTCTGTTTTTTGGAGCTCAAAATTATTATGAATGACTTCCACAGAGAATAGCTTAGATCAAAAGGCACAGATACCAAGATGAAGGCTTTTTGTTAACACACAGGGTCCAGCAAAGGCATCTTTTAGGTTGCTTCTTACATTTTCACATATTCAGAGCATCATGGTCAGAGCATTAGTTAAACTCGTGGGCAATGAAATGATTGCAAAATGAGAAATTCTAAGGCCCCGGTGACATATGTCCTCAGCACAGTCACGCAATGACAGGCCTCCAGGTGTGGTCACACTTGGTGTGGAGTAAAAGGTTAGGCCCACCCTCCATTTCTCTGTCAATGATGACTTCCATCACGGCAGTAACACTACATCCTGTCTCCTATCTCATAAGGCAGGTGAGAGACCAGGATGTGTTTCTGTGTGTCACTTGGGTAAGTTTTCTTTTCTTTCCTTAGTTACTGCTTGACACTACCTGCTGTGTGCCAGACTTGTGAGATTTCTGTTTTATACGTAGTAAGTTTCTGCTTTCTATCCACAAAGCTTTTGGTGTTTTATCCCTTTTTTTTAATTTAATTTTATTTGATTTGTGAACATACTGTACAGAGGGGTTACAATTACATGGGCAGGATAATGCGTACATTTCTTACCAAGCACTGCAGCCTCCTCCTTTGGTTTACCCTTCACATCCCTTCCCAGCC